TATTTTATCAATTTCTTTTGGAAACTCATATTTTTCTGCGTATTATCCTTTGACTATCATTTACTACGCATGTGGATTATCTTAAATGAATATTTATCTTAGCCATTTAAATAGCCATGCCCCACAATGGACTAAGTGCCGTATTTTACTGGTTTAAGTTAAAAATTTCCCATCATGAACGGAAATAAGCGAACATTCGGTCACAGAAGCTCAGAAATCTCAGAGATCCGGCCTGCGGTTCTGATACTGTACTAGTGAGCTACAGTAGGGTTTATATAGGCGTTTGTGTATCAAAACGATATGAGGAACAAACTGAACTCCCACCACTTAACGGGGGGCTTCGTGCTCCCCAGATCAGCTGCTGATGCGCTCAGGTTCAGTAAGTCTTCTGTCGGTGTTGTGCCGAACTCCGACTCTGCGTGCACGCGCCTCACACAACTGCGGTTAAGCTAGTCGCCTTTCTCCAAACCAGCCGCACGTGACACTGGAGTGCGTCAGTACTGCACACAATATTGCGGTAAGAGTCACAGCACACACAAACCTAGTTCATATCAGAAAAAGTCAAATTCACGTACGTGAATTGGTACGTAGATCATAAAAACAACAGATATCAGTTGAGGATTTATCATACTGTGTACATATGAATTATGAATTATGATTCCACTGTACGGTTTTAAAGTAATTGGCAGCCAAAGTCCAAACATTTTCAACTGTATATTAATGAATACTTAAAGTTAAAACATGATAAAATGGTAATTTCTGACCAGATTAAACCACAACGACGCCTCTTTTTTTACGGGGGGCGGCGCAGCTCTGCATAACGGAGCCCCTGCAGCCGCCGCAGTGTTATAAGACCACCATGAACACAGCAATAACAGGTGTAACACACTGACTGTAACACACTTCACCTCTGACCACATCACGGTACAGTGTTACTTTTCTCCTCATCACTGAGAAGCGTGACTCTCGTTTGTTCTTCATTTCGCTGTTAAATGGCGGGAGTTCAGTACGAGCATCTCTTCATAGCGCTTCAGTTTTGCTGATAGAACAAAGTCAAAAACACAAATACCTCCACAAACGACATATAGGCTCACATAATGTCAGAACTAGGTCTCATATTCTCAACATGAACGCTCGATGTTTCCTGTCTTTATAATTTAACCGAGACCGCCTGATTTCTGAGCTCCTGCGACTAAATTTGCTCTCTACACGTTTATTTCCAGATAATGCGTATCAGTAAAATACGACCCTTTATTCCATTACTGTTAATGTGTTGATTGATTTTATGATCAGTTTGTGAAACTGTAAAATGGAGGTATTTCTTGTTTTTTCTACCGACATAATAACAGAACCAACGACGAGAATCGACCCTTTTGTCGTTTTTCAACGCTGGATTTTGATTCGACTTTCATGTCGACTAGAACGTATATTGAGGGTGACCCTCATTTACAGTGTAGCCAAGCAAATTAGAGGGGATTGAAAAAGTTTGAATAAAAATTACCAACTAAAACTAATGAAAATCATCGACACAAAAATATTTATTATAAACAAAATATATAATATTTTCAATTATTTACTAGAATATAACAGTAAAAGAATTATCATCAAATAAAGCAGTTGCAATAAAACATTATTATTATTATTATTATTATTATTATTATTAACAATAATAATAATAATAATAACAATAACTAAGTGCAAAGGAAAAGTTAAGCTCAGCTAAAACAGCTACAGGCTGTCTGATGATTTTGAAATTAAACTCAGATGAACAGAAGGTCCCGGACTCTGCAGCTGCAGTCACTGCGAGGATGAACCGAACTGAACAAGCGGATTCAAGAGCAGCTTCTGAACACACGACCTCACTGGTTGTGCTGGAGGGCGGGCTTATTTCGTAATGCTGTATTTTCATTGGCTGTGACAGAGGATGTGGGATTCAGCCTGTAAGCCCCCCTTCAGGGCAGAATTCTCTCTTCTGCTACACACACAGCTGAACTGTAAACACGTGATCAAAACAGTGGAAACAGTATGAGTTGTGAACTAGATACTGATTTATTAAAGAAAGTCAAAACAAAACTAGAGAGTGATGAAGTGTATCCAATAGAGTCGAACTGCAATTAAAGGCGTTTCCGTAAAACATTGGCTGATATGTCTGCAAAATCGCTTCTCTCATTGGTGGATACGATTCAACGGAGTTGTTATTGTTACTAACAGCGGCCCTAAAACGCCGTCGTAATTCTGTTTACTCAGCAACGTTACTGTGGCTTTTACTCCAAAGCCCACCTCCCTCTGACGTCACATTAGGGGTGTTCCCCGGAGGGTGTCTGCATCACAGAAACGCCCTCATATGGTGTTGCAATTAGACCCTCATCAGCGTATCAGCTCAGTAACAGAGCGGCTCAGCACTTTCAGTTTCACCTTGAGTTTTCCAGCGCTGACGGAATTCAGTTGGATCAGACGATGGTAAACCGTCTGTAATCCTCTTTACTGGAGTTGGATCAGATGATAGTAAACCGTCTGTAATCTTCTTTACTGGAGTTGGATCAGATGATAATAAACCATCTGTAATCCTCTTTACTGGAGTTGGATCAGATGATAATAAACCATCTGTAATCCTCTTTACTGGAGTTGGATCGGATTATAGTCAATGTTATTGTAAAGTAGCTCAGTTCAGTCTCGCCTGAAGAAGAGATGGTGACTATAGAGTGAAGTTGAGATTTAGGATGTAAAAGAGTTTGTAATATTGTGAATAAACCGTCTGTAATGGCTCAGTTTCTGCTGTTTAGTTCAGGGTGTGAAGGATTTCTAATAATACATCTTTGACAAAGTTTCACTGATGAACAGAAACACTTCTCCCTCAAACTGAGTGATGTAATGAAGAAGGATGAACATCTGTCTTGCTTCAGAATCATAACAAATGTAGAAAAAGAAAGATGGCTGGGTAAACCTGGAGTTCAGCTCAGAGTTACAGGTGAGTTAATCATCCCATTGTCCAGCTATAAGACACAGCTCTGGTTTCAGAGTAATGTTTCTTATTCATGACTGCTCTGAATATTCATGTTGTTTTTTCATCACTGATTTTATTAATCTGCTCTAATGATGTTCAGCTTCTGTTCTGATTCCCTCCTACATCATTTTATCTGTTCTTACACCTGATTCATTTTTTAATGCTGATTTTCTTTTTTTGACTTTATTAATGTCAAATCTTGCAAAAACACTGTCGTCAAATAGCCTTTAGCGTCAAATAGCCTAAACAGGCAAATCTGACTGTAAAGTTCTGACAATAACAGTTAAAATAGAAAACAATGAAGTACAGTAAACTGTAATGAAATCAAAGCCAGTGTTTATGAAAATAATCACATTACACAATCACATCACACTACAATCTGAAAAAGCTACATTTTGTTTAGTTCATATTTTATTCTTTTCATTCATTGTAATTTAATAAAACTATACAGACGTTTGAGCTTTAGCCAGTAGGGGGAGCAGTGGACCTCCTGATATGACATATGGCTCCTGAGGCTGCTGCACACACTGTAAAACAATGATTTTACCTAAGAAGTTAGGGTAACACTTTCTTTGAAGAGTGTCTACATAACACATTCATATCACCTTACATAAACACTTCATAACATGTTCATGAATGCTTAAAGCAACATTCATAAACTTTACATGTTTTACATGATATTAATATGGACGACTATGCCATTTTACTGAAAGTTGTTTCTTTCAAAATAAAAGTCCTCATTTTATTTATTATTTTCAGTGAAACTCCTCATTTCTGGACTGTCAGCATAAAATGACCTGGCTTTATCCCTTTGGACAGAAAGTGTTTTGAAACTTTTTGCCTAGACTTTCAACTTTTTTTTTTTTTCTCAAGCATTTGTATTTTGCAATATGCTATTCTTTCTGCTTTTTAAACAAATTATTCATATATAAAATGTACTGTTCATTCAACACTCTATACATAATTATGAGAATGTTACTTAAACTACATTTAACTTTATTGGGGTAAATGTTAACACTGTTATCCCAATTACTTTGGAAGTTTTATTTTTAGTGATGTTGTTCCTCACTTGCGGTTTTGGAGAAGGCACAAGTATAACTGTTTATCTGTTCCTGTTCCTGACAGCTGTACAGTCGTCACTGCACATTCCTACTCCCCCCCCCTTTATGGTGATACCAAAAAAAGCATTCTAAGAGAAAGCTGGATTCATGACTACACAACCAACACTCCATCAGCATTCACTATAAAGCATGAGTCTGCTCACCACAGACACAACGCCCAATGAAGATAACACAACTAAATTAAATCATACAGCTGTGAAGTATATTAAAAGCTGGCAACTAATGGCTGCTTGTACTCTAAAGGCCCAAATAAATGCAATCATACTGTTTGTCTTGTTAAATACTCCAAATAAAACAAAATTATAATACTCAGGCCATTTGGACATGCTGAATTGCCCCTAGGTGTGAGTGTATGTGTCTGTATGTGACAGCCCTGCGATGGACTGGTGGCCTGTCCAGGGTGCCTTTCTGCCTAATGACTGATGGGATAGGCTCCTGCTCCCACTACGACAATCAAAACATACATTCACATGTAGTCATAAGAAGATGAAGTAAACAGTTTAATGTATGAAAGATTTATTTATTTATGACTCACGATCACATTACAATTGTAAAATGATAAAACAGACATGAACAAAGAGTAAAAATACAATATAAGGCCAAAAAACGAGGGCTTAAAACTGTGGATAAAGATGAAATTACAGGACAAAATCTTTAAAATATAAAAGACAAAACATCAAAGATTATGTTTTATTTGTTATTTTTGAAAAAAACAGATAAAAAACAGAGATTAAGCATAAAATGAGGCCTGTTACACATGATTGAATATCAAAGTTTCAAAGAAAAAGGCATTCTGCAGTAAAGAATATATGTTTGGGTTAATGTATTTATTTATTTTTTTTAGCAGTAAAATCTGTTTTCATGTAAAGACTAATATGTTGTAAAATATAAAATCTCTCTTTCTCTCTCTCTTTCTATCTCAGTTGTGGTCATCCATTGGATTGTTGGTTGATATTGATAGTGATGGTCTCAGCGATGCTACAGGTGATACAGAATACAGTGTGTTAGAGCAGAACACACACATTTAGTTCATTTGTCACAAATACACAATGCTTTGGCTTAACAAAATTATATTATTATACAAGTAGTACTATATAATACCTACAATGTACAATAAGTTCTGAATACCAATATTCCCAGTAATCTCTTTAAAATATCACTCAAACTCAGTTGCCTGTAATGTGGCTCTTAATGATGACCAGCCCTTAAAAACAATATTATCAGCCACAATATTACTACAAGTTATGATCAACACCCCATATTTTGGCATATCACATTGCATGGCATTACTCTGGTGTTCCTTTAATACTGTTTAGCTAGCCACCTTTTGTCAAAACAGTATTAAAACTGGCAAAACAGATGAGGAGACACCTAATCCATGAGTTGAAGAATAGCAAGCTGTATGATCTTTCCTCTAATGTATAAGGGCATTGCTAGCCAGCTGGAAGTTTTTGTCAGCGGTACCGTTTTCAGTCTGCCGTGAACTACAGATACTGCTTTAAATGGTAAATAAGTCACAAGGTTGTGGTTTATATTTTGTCTTGAAGAACAAACTCGGTGTTTCCAGTGCCATGTTTTTACAAGGCAATACATCATTTAGCATGATTAAAATACAGCAGCGCTAGATCAGAGCCATGTTTCTCAGCAAATTGTAAATAAACATTCTTGTTAATCTTTTGTGGCATAAATGATCTCAAAATCTAATCATAAAAATGAAGAATGAAACTGCTATAATTTATGGTGTTATCACAGTAATACACTCAAGACAGGCTCTACTGTAAGATTTTGGGACTGCTGTGCTGATCTACTCAGTTTGGGGCTTCATGCCTATGAGTGCAGCTCAACAGTGCTGATATCTCACAGTACAGCACTCCCTCTTGTGTATTATTACATAATTGTAACAAGCATAGTCTGCATAGTCATACCAATGTAGGAGCATTGGTAGGAATATTTACATTTGAATCCTTACCAATTCTATTGACCAGTAAAAGAATGATGAGTAGATAAAACATTGACTTCATATTAAAGTAATACGACCAGTGTCATTACTTGCTTCTGTCAAAGTTGGAGAGAAAATCTAGTTCAGTTGTAGTGTAATAACAGTGTAATAAGATTTTAATTTTTGGAACTTACTTGGATGCTCTCATAGACATCAACAATGGATGAGCCCTGAGAACAGAGAGAAATGGGTTACATTATAGCTAAAGGCGACAGCTTACATTGCACTGATGTTCCACCCTGAAATAAAACAGATCAGTCTGCTGCCTTTAATCAAAACATTCATTTGGACATTTTGCATTGCGATACTTTACGTAGGTTATATGCAGGATGCTAACGTGAGCTAAGAACTGTTTTTCTTCACAGAGTGTAAATAAACGTTCATTAAACTGTATTTACCAAAAATGCCTCAAAATGTAATAAAAATTAGGAAGTAAACTGTGATACAGTCAAAATAACACACTGATCAGTGCTTATCATTTCTATTGACCAGTGAAAGAACGACAAGTACATAAATCATTCACTTCATCTTCAAATACTATAAATATAGTCTATAAATGCAGTTTCATTGTAATGTAATGAGAATGTAATGAGACTTTAATTTTTGGATCTTACTGGGATGGTCTCATAGTCATTAACACTGGTTGAGTCATCATCAGGAGGCAGAGCACTGATGCCTGAGCCCTGAGAACAGAGAGAAATAGGTCATATTTTAGCTAAAGGCAACAGCTTACACTGCACTGATGTTCCACGTTAAATAATACAGGTCAGTCTGCTGCCTTTAATCAAAACATTCATTTTGGACATTTTGCATTGTGATACATTACGTAGGTTATATGCAGGATTCTAACATGAGCTCAGAACTGTTTTTTCTTCACAGAGTGTAAATAAACGTTCATTAATCTGTGTTTACCAAATTGGCTCAAAATGTAATAAAAAAAATTAGGAATTAAACTGTGATTCAATCAAAATAACACACTGATTAGTCCTTACCATTTCTATTGACCAGAGAAAGAATGACAAGTACATAAATCATTCACTTCATCTTAAAATACTATAAATATTATCTATAAATGCAGTTTCATTGTGATGTAATGACAGTGTAATAAGATTTTAATTTTTGGAACGTACTGGGATGCTCTCATAGACATCAACACTGGATGAGCCCTGAGAACACAGTGAAATGGGTTACATTTTAGCTAAAGGCAACAGCTTACATTGCACTGATGTTCCACCCTGAAATAAAACAGATCAGTCTGCTGCCTTTAATCAAAACATTCATTTTGGACATTTTGCATAATGTGAGCTTAGAAATGTTTTTCTTCAAAGAGTGTAAATAAACATTCATTAATCTGTGTTTGCCACAAAGGGCTCAAAACATAATAATAAGAATTAGGTATTAAACTGTGATACAATCAGAATAACACACTGATCAGTTCTTACCATTTCTAGTGACCCATGAAAGAACAACAAGTACATAAATCATTCACTTCATCTTAAAATACTATAAATATAGTCTATAAATGCAGTTTCATTGTGATGTAATGACAATGTAATAAGACTTTAATTTTTGGATCGTACTGGGATAGTCTCATAGTCATCAACACTGGTTGAGTCATCAGCAGAAGGCAGCACACTGAGGCCTGAGCCCTGAGAACAGAGAGAAATGGGTCATATTTTAGGTAAAGGAAGCAGCTTACATTGCAATGATGTTCCACCTTAAATAATACAGGTCAGTCTGCTGCCTTTAATCAAAACATTCATTTTGCACATTTTGCATTGCGATACTTTACATAGGTTATATGCAGGATGCTAACGTGAGCTTAGAACTGTTTTTCTTCACAAAGTGTAAATAAAAATTCATTAATCGGTGTTTGCCAAAAAATGGCTCAAAATGTAATAATAAAAATTAGGAATTAAACTGTGATACAATCAAAATAACACACTGATTAGTCCTTACCATTTCTATTGACCAGTGAAAGAATGACAAGTACATAAATCATTCACTTCATCTTAAAATACTATAAATATAGTCTATAAATGCAGTTTCATTGTGATGTAATGACAATGTAATAAGACTTTAATTTTTGGATCTTACTGGGATTGTCTCATAGTCATCAACACAGGTTGAGTCATCAGCAGGAGGCAGCAATCTGAGGCCTGAGCCCTGAGAACAGAGAGAAATGGGTCATATTTAAGCTAAAAGCAACAGCTTACATTGCACTGATGTTCCACCTTAAATAATACAGGTCACTCTGCTGCCTTTACTCAAAACATTCATTTTGAACATTTTGCCTTGTGATACTTTACGTAGGTTATATGCAGGATGCTAACGTGAGCTAAGAACTGTTTTTCTTCACAGAGTGTTTGCCAAAAATGGCTCAAAATGTTATAATAAAAATTAGGAATGAAACTGTGATTCAATCAAAATAACACACTGATTAGTCCTTACAATTTTAGTGAAAGAATGACAAGTACATAAATAATTCACTTAATCTTAAAAGACTATAAATATAGTCTATAAATGCAGTTTCATTGTGATGTAATGACAATGTAATAAGACTTTAAATATTGGTACTCACTGGGATATTCTCATAGTCATCAACACTGGCTGAGTCATCAGCAGGAGGCAGCAATCTGAGGCCTAAGCCCTGAGAACAGAGAGAATTGGGTTATATTTTAGCTAAAGGCAACAGGTTGCATTGCAGTCATGTTCCACCTTAAATATTACAGATAAGCATGTTGCCTGAAAAGAAAATAGAAGAGAAACTGTCCCAAAACAAATAGGGAGAAACTAATCCTTGAAGTGGAGAATAGTGAGCTGTGTGATTCTTCCTCTATTTTTTTATAAGGAAGTTGCTAGCTTGCCATGGTTTAAAATGATATGTGTAGCTACTTCTCTCAATCTTTTAGCTGACGCATTTGTGGTTATTTAAAATGTTCTTGTCTTTGTGAATATGTTCCCAGTATAAACATCCTGAATGTTTTGCATTGCAGAAATGTATGTAGTCAAATATGGTATAATCACAATAAGACTCTCAAGGTCAACGATTAATCCTTACCATTTCTAATTACCAATGAAAGAATGACAAACAGATCAATCATTCCGTTTCTATCTTAAAGTACTAAGATCTGCTTTCTAATTTCTCCCTTCTATAAAATGTAGTTGGATTGTGGTGTTATAACAGTGCAATAAGACTCTAATGATTGGGACTCACTTGTATATTCTCATAGTCACCAAAACTGAATAAGTCATCAGGAGGTGGGGCTCTACGGCCTTTGTTCTGCGGAACAGAGTTAGAGAACAGATCAAGAATTATGCACTTTTAGCCAAGGGCAACAGCTTGATGTTCACTTTAAGCTGTTGATTGATACATTGATAGATAGATAGGTTGATCATGTTTTGTCTGATGAATATGTTTGAAGTGTAAATATCCTTAACATTTCTTTTATGATATTTCATTCAGTAGTGTTTGTATCCAGTAGTGCTTAATTGGAAAGTTGTTTCTTCACAGAGTGAAAATAATAGTCACTGTTAATTCATTTTTTGTGTTATAGAATTCAAATCATCATCATCATCATCATCGTTGTCTGTAATCGCTTAGTCTAGATAAGTTCATGGTAGCAGTTGGGAGAGCAGAGAATTCCAAACAACATTGTCCCCAGCTAATTCCATTCCAAGGCCAACCTGGTAAACCCCCACTGGGAGGCATCCAGGAGGCATCCTGATAAGATGCACAAACCACCTCAACCACCTCGGAGGAGGAGGAGTAGCGGCTCTACTTTGAACTGCTCCCAGATGACTGAGCTCCTCACCCTATCAAGTAGAGTGTACTCCATAGTGGAAGCTACCAGGTGGTTTTGAACAGGGTCCATTCAGACTTCATGTCCCTTATCTCCTCCGGAACATGAGAAAAGCTCTCCTGGAGGTGACATTTAAAATCAGACAGTCATTCCCAGCTCACCCTCACTATTTGTTTGGGCCTACTGGGTCTGACCATCAGTCTTCCCTGGCATCAGATCCAACTCACTACCAGATGGTGATCGACAGCTCAGCACCTCTCTTGACCCAAGTGTTCAGAACATATGGTCCCAAGTCAGATGAAATGATAACAAATATGATCATTGACCTTTGACCAAAGGAGCTCTGGTACCACATACACATATGAACATCCTTATGCTCGCACTTGGTGTCACTATAGAGTCTGTTGATGGGGCCCTTTCCAGAACCCCACCCACTCACTCCAAGAAAGCAGAATACTCCAAACTGTTGTTTGGTGCATAAGTACACACAACAGTCAGTTTTCCTTTTGTGATTTTACTTCGCATTGAGGTGACCATCTCATTGACTGGGACAAACTCCAACTATCCCCACACTCATCTGGTGCCTCTCACCCCATGCAACTCCTAAATAGGAGAGCAGGTTTGAGTCAGTTGTTTGAAGAGAGCGAGACAGCCAGCGTGTTACCATGAAGAAACAACAAGAAAAGAAGCCCAGTCTCCTTCTCATTTGGCACTTTTAAGTCTGCAGATTTATTTTTGTTTCATGTCTCAGTTCGTTTTATCTTTGTTTAGTTCATTTTGTTTTCATTGACTCTGTAATCTTGAGGGCCTCACCTTTGACTGGCAGACCTTTCTCCAGCCCATTTGAGCATGCGGCTTCTCTTCCTCAATGCGTTCTACTGGTCCCTTTCCATTGGCACTAACCTGAGATTAATCTAAATATGTGTGTTTTATGGTAAGTGGGAAAATAGGTGGTTTTAGTGGCCTTCTCCCACTACATCAGACATTATTACTTTCTGCATTACCTAAAATGTAGTATTAAGTGTTTATTGTTTGCGACTTACTGTTTCATACATGTAGACATCAACAATGCTAGAGTAATCATCAGGAGGCTTTACACTGAGGCTTGTGATCTTCAGAACAGAAAGTTAGAGAACAGGTCAGAAATTGGTCAGTTTTTGGCCAAGGGCAACAGGACCCACCACTGACTAACTGATATGGAGAATACTGTAAAAACTCACTGCACAATACTGTTCATTCATATTTCTGGTCAGCCTCTTCAACCTGCTCAAAATAAATACATAAATTAATATTTATTAAAATATGGAGACTCTGAATTTGGTGTATTATTCTAGATAACAATCTGGAGTGCACCAGATATTATGAGGGGACACCAGATTTTTACCTAAAAAAAAAAAAAAAGAATGCTCCATGTTCGTTCAGAGACTTCATAAAATAACTAAGATTACAAAATGTGCATTACTGTTCATCATTTATTATATAATGATTTGTTTCAACAACACAATCTGAATAAGTGATATGATTTTAGCAACTGTATTTGGCTTGATTATCTCTGCATAATTATTCTCACCTCATCCAGTAAATTACAGCGAGAAAAAGTGCAACCTCACAAAGTCCTAATACAGCAGCTGCATACAGAATCGCCTGCTGAAAACAACAATACTCTAACAAACACATATATAACCAGAAATATCACCATAGAACTGCCATAATTTGTATATATATATATATATATATATATATATATATATATATATATATTTACCAATTATATACACATATACACATATAAATTCAATAATTACTTATTAATCACATGATGCAGAAAATGGAACATATGCGAGAACAAATACTTACTGTCGTGAGGTTGACCATTTCAAATGACAGGCACTGGAGTAGATTTCACTGAATTGCCTTGTACTGTTTCTCCAGGGGAGCTGATGGATTCTGAGACACTCTTTGGAGGATCTACAGCAGACAGGAAAAAAAGAGATATGAGGATACGGAGTGTCATAAAATCACCTATTTCTCGTGACTCGTGACTCAACTCAGACACACACTTAGCTGATTTGCATCCTGATTCAGACAAGAGTGCACTGACTCAAGACTCATCTCAGATGCGCAGGTAATTGACTCATACCTCGACTCAGATGCGTACTTAACTGATTCATGACTTGACTTAGACATGTGCTTAACTGACTCATGATTCAGCTCACATGCACTTTGTTAACTTGCAATTCAACTCTGGTATGCACTTAACTAAGTCATCAGTCCACACAGACAATTACATTATTGACTACATTGATTACAAGTGTGACTTTGCCTTTCAATTTTATTATGGTCATACCCAGAATTAGGGTTTGAGGGTATTACATTATGGGATTTTTTTAAATTTACTACCGTGGCAATAGTAGTGAAGCGAAAAGCTTTTTTTCCTTCTATTTGATGCTTTGTTGGTGGTGTTTATTTCTTTGAATGTTAATGCATGATCTTAAATGCTACAACTACAGCCCAGGGACAGAAAGCAGAATAAGTAAACAGCAGTAATTACTTTGCAGCTCACAGCAGCATCAGGTTCAGCACAGTTTTAAATTTATGAGCTTTTCATTATGACAGAATCTTCAGTCAGAAGGACAGAATAAAGCACTTCATGCAACAAATGTGGTGACAGGCAAGAGCTAGTTTAGCTTAAGTCAGATAATCTAGTAAAAGTTTAAGTCTTTTAAGATTTTAGCAGCCTAGTCAGCCATTTTAAGCTGTTTTACACCCTTTATTTAAAGCACTGTATTTGTGTGTAACACTTAATTTCTTCTCAAGGTCTTCTTCTCGCTCTTAAATATGCCGTCTCCCCTGATTACGAGAAGCGCTGCAGTGCCCTATAGATATTCTTCTCAGCTGTCCTAATATTTTGCTGTAGGGTCCTGCAGTTTGAGATGGTGCAGTTCCAATACAAGACACTGAGGCAGGTGGTCAGGACACTCTCTACAATCCCTTTTTAAAATGTAGATGGTGTAAATTTCTGCATTTCTACAGCAAAAAGATTTTGGGCAGTAAATACACTAACATTGCTGCTGATTGGTTGCCATTCTGCCTGGAGCTGATCAATTCCTGTGTTTCCATTCAAACGTTTTGCACATGTTACGCGCATTTACAAACTTTTGGCGGAAAGAATGCAAATTAAGTGTTCTCCATTTTTGCTTTAGTAGAACTGTCTGTCCACCCTTTGCCATCTTTTTATAGCCGTGTTGTTTGCAGCTCAGAAATGCCAGTCAGGATGAGCAATGGCCCACATGATGAGGGCTAAAATCTCTGTGCCACCCCAGCAACGTCCACCTTGCATCTGGGAATGCAAATACACCAGAGAATTCTGGGAGCACATTGTAAAGACTTATTTTTCAAATGCGATTTGGATTAGGCATTTCCAAATGTTAAAAGCAACGTTTAAAAAACTGTGCACCACGATTGGACTGTAGGGCCAACTTTTACTCAGTTACAGCTTGATACGTCATTGTTTTCTCAAAAAAAAAAGCATTTTGGCTGTAGCGATATGCTAACCTTTCCAGCTCGATCTAGAGTAGAACTCTTTTTGCGATATTTGTGTGTGTGTTTTTTTTTGGGGGAGGGGGGCTTTTTCCATTATTTTGTGCATTTTCAAAAGTCACAAAAGAACTGGTGGATGGAAAACTGCTATTGGCTGAGTAAAAGTAGTTCACTCTCACTGACATCAAGAACATATAAGATACTATCAGAAAGTTCTGTAACTTGAGTTGAAAATCACTCAGAAATGTAACAGTAGTTTTAAAATACTTTGTTATGTGTTTTTAAAAACGTGCATTTTCTGTACAAAAATGAAACGTTCACAAACTATAATTTTGCACAGAAGCACTACAGGGACCCATTCATTTTGACTCACTCAGGAGCATCCTGTAGCATTGGACAGACCAGGAAGACATCATTGAGTAGCAGATCTCCTAACCACACATTCAATATAAAGCACCTATTAAAAAAATGTTGGTTGCCTGTGGAATTAACTGTCAGCCTAAAAAATCATACCTAAATGTTTGTTATAGGAAAATTCAAATATTGGCTCAGACTTGATAACGGCTTGTGATGGATCAGCATGTACCTGGATTTGTTACCAAGGAAAACACCATCCTGACTGAAATAGCTTTGAATCTGAAAACAATTACTAGTTCTGAATACATTTCTAAAATAATTCTGAAACTGTGTTTTTATGAACCTAATGGTGCATGGAAACCTTTTAAGATTAAGAAATGATTTTATCGTCCTTTAATGAGCTCATCACCAGCATCTACATGAGCGACAGTGAGCACACAGGCTGCACTACAGTATTAATTTAGATGTGGCTAACACTTAACTACAGGCTCTCTCGCTCAATAAAAATATCTAGGCTAATTAACATGCTCCTTCCTCCTACAGGAAACATGTGACCTTCTTAGCCACAGAAAGAGATTACGATCACTTAAAACTCTTCTTGACATTTTTAATGTTTAACATTGTGTGGAAAGCATATTCCAGCACAATTTAATCAGTTCCGCCTCTTCTCCTGCTAGTCTATAAAGTATCAATGGTGGGTTTATCAGTGCTGATCTCAGTAGAGTGTTAACCAGCTGATAGAATAAACATGATAAGACCATCTTAATACCAAAGTGTGATCTGGGCCTGCTTTCTGAAAGGTCATCAGCAGCTTTTCTTTTGAATGATGATGGCTTTCTACTGATACTACACACTCTCAGAAAATGGGCACCAAACTTTCACTGGGATGGTACCCCTCTTGTCACTGGGTGGTACCCTTTTTTAAGTGCGTTTTCCATATGAAAATGATGAAGCATTCACAAATTATAATTTTGCACAAAATCACTATAGGAACCCATTCATTTAGATTCACTCAGGAGCATCCTCTAATACTGAACAAACCAAGAAGACATCATCAAGTAGCAGTTCTACATATTCAGTTAATATTAAGCACATGATTAAAAATGAAGTACTTGTTTGTGGAACTAACTGTCAGCCGAGAATGTCATACCTAAGCGGTTTTTGTAGGAAAATTCAAGTATTGGCTCAGATGTGATAAAGGCTTGTGATGGCCCAGGATGTTCCTGAATTTACCAAGAAAAACACCATGCTGACTGAAATAGCTTTGAATCGAAAAATATTTACTAGTACTGAATACACATTTTTAAAAATTCTAAAACTATGTTTGTGATTCGAAAGGTGAATAAAAACATTTTGACCATAAAGAAATGATCTTACCGTCCTTTAATGATGCTCAACACTAGCGTCTACATGAGAACTGGTGAGGACACAGGCTGCACTGAAGTATTAATTTAGATGTGGCTAACAAGTCTAGGCTCTCTCGCTCAATAAAAATACCCAGGCTCATTAACATTCTCCTTCCTCCTACAGGAAGCATGTGACCTTCTTAGCTGCAGCAAGAGATGAGCTTCACTTCAAATTTCTGCAAAGTTATTTATTAGTAAATTTATGATTATTTTAAATAATTATGTTTTATTTTCATTTTTCATGGGTAATATTAAAGTTGCTTTTGTGAAAAGCATGTTTCAGCATAATTTAGCCAGTTCCACCTCTTCTCCTTCTACTTAATAAATTATCACTGGAGGACTTATCAGTGCTATATCAATAGAGTGTTAGCCAGCTCATAGAATAAACATGATAAGACCATCTTAATAACAAAGTGTGATTTGAGCCTGCTTTCTGAAAGGTCATCAGCAGCTTTTCTTTTGAATGATGATGGTTTTCTATTGATACAATATACTCTCAGAAAATGGGCACCAACCTTTCACTGGGATGGTACCCTCAAGGGTATGTCTTTAGTGATATTAGTTCGGAAAGATAATTGTACTACGTTTCATTGAAATTATAAATATTTAATTATTATTACCTCCACAAACTCTCTCTTCTCCAGGCTTTTATTGACTTTTTTATTGTTCTGTTTTTAAACATTAAATTAGGAAAAAGGTATACATTTGTATCTTTTCCCTTGGAAAAAACTTATTGAAGGTACACAGTTGGACCTTAACCCCTGACCAGGGTCTGCCATCGGGCCCAAAGTTTTATCAAACACTTCTACATCCTACGAATAGCTCAACCATTTTGCACTGATGTCCCTGTTGTTACTTAATAATAAGCCCTAGTATGTAATAAGCTTGGGATTTTAAGAGGTTAAAAACATTGTTTTAATATGGGAGGACCAGCCCTGGTTTTGGTAACCTACTGCTCGCTGAGTTTGGCCTAACCGTGCACTATAATGGTAACTATTCTACACCATAGGGTGCATAAATTCCCAGGAACAGGGTTGGGCTTCCCTGCTGTAGTTAACAGTTTTTGTTTTTTGATTGCATAGATGATTTTTATCCTTCTTACTATTCCTGTTTAAAAAGCATCTATTTGTTTAGTTGAAGAATATAGTGGAACAACTTGTACGTCTCTGGACAAACACTGTTTTTGTCTCCTGTTTTAAAACACATGGGCATTCTCATTGTACATGCTTATGATTTTGGGTATAACTTCCATTCTTTACAAGTGCATGCTTTAACCCGTCTTCTCAAAGTAATTCGGCAAATCTCAGTCACACAAACCATGAATGTAACTTGTATACATTTGAGTCAAAAGTCAATCATTAGGTCCCAGTGGTGCAACACACTATAGCACACAATGGTGGGAGGGGTCGTTCACAATTCTGTTCTCTACTATAAATTATAATGTGAGATCGGAGAGCCACAGCACCAGGGTAGAGATCAAATGATCCTTAAGTTCTTCTAAAGCTTTCTGAACTTCTGGGGTCCACTGAAAGCATCCCATGGCCTTCTTGGCGAAGGCAGTTAATGGGGTGGCTACTGTGCTGAAATTCCATATAAATATACAGAAAAATCTTGTAAACCCCAAAAGGATTTGAACTAAATGAAGAGATTTGAAATATGGCCACGTAGTGATGGCCTAGGTTTTCACTGGGTACATGTTCAGGTGGTTCTTGGACATGAGCAGATGTAGATGAGGATGTCATCTAGATACATTGTCATCAAACACATTGTTGTTAAGAGTTTCGTGCAGGACCTCATTAATAAAGCATTGGAAGACAGAAGGAGCATTCATCAAACCAAAAGGAATCATGAGGTACTGGTAATGACCAGATGAGGTAAAGAATGCTGTCTTCCATTCATCCCCCTGGCATACCCGAATAAGGTTGTAGACACTGCGCTGGTCCAACTTAGTAAAAAACTGAGGCCTGCTGCAGCACCTTGAATGCTGAGGTTATCAGCAGCAACGGGTACTGGTCCTTAACTTTAATTTTGTTTAGCCTCCTATACTCAATGCAGGGATAAAGGCTGCCAGTCTTTTCCCCACAAAGAAAATACAGGCCCCAGCTGGCCATAGTGCTAGGGCCTCCCTGATGTATTCCTGGTTTTTCTGGACCCAAAAGAGAAAACAGCCTCCCTCGAGGAGGGGTGGTGCCTGGGATGAGGTCAATGGCTCAGTCATAGGACCTGTGTGGAGGTCCAGGAGAACCCTAATACTAGCTGCAACTCAGGCACCTGCCAGTAATGAAATCTGCTCTGTGTGCTGACCTATCACAAGGTGATGGGCCAGGTCTGCAGGCTTACCTGTCAGTGGCTAAAATTGATACAGAGGTCTCCAGGTTGACTAGCAGACTAGAATTTCAGCCAGAGTAATACAGATAAAATTGCTGGCTGCACCAGAGTCCACAAAAACCAGGAACATTTTCTCAAAACATTGCCCCTTTGAGAGAGTAGCAGCAAGCAAAGGCCCAGAAGTCTTGGCGATTATTCCATCAGAGATTCCCTTCCTGGAATTTATATTGGCATTTTCCTTCAAGCTTTGGACAACCAGAACAGAGATAACTAGGCTGCCCACAGTTAAGATAACTGCCCTCTTGCAAATGAGCTTTGCACTCTGGATAAGAAAGGTGGGTACCTCTCAACTTCATGGGCTGCTTGGTAGACTCAAGAGGTATGGGGGACGGGGCAGGACTGAGACCATCCAGGGATGGAGCCATAATAGCATGAGCACACAGACTCCTGTTCCGTACAGCACTCTCGTAGACAGTTGTTCAATTTTATTCCCTGTTCAATGAGCTCTTCCAAGGAATCCAGCATGGGAATTCAGGCCCTTTTGGAAGATATCCATTCACATTCCATCCAATCTTTGCGGTCAGAGTGCAAACTTCTCTGGACTAATCTGCCACTGAGCACTTGCCCTGCCTAAGTTAGAAGACACAAGAATCAGCCACTCCTTCACAGAATGGATGGTCAAATATACTGTTCATAGCGGCCATAAACAGCTCTGAGGAGGAATACTCAGTGTGGGAACCATAAGGGCCGCTCATCAAAAGCTAATTCATAGTAGAAGAAACCACCTACAATGGCCAGGCTCCCCATTAAACAACATTACATTATTACACAAGTAGTACTATATAATACCAACACTGAACAACGAGTTCTGACCTAACTATCTGAAGCACTATATGAGCACGAATACATCCCAGTACTCTCTTTAAGCTGTCACTCAAACTCCATTGCCTGTAACGCACCTCTTAATGATGACCAGCCCTTACAAAGTATATTATTAGTTTGGATCAACCCATTTTTTGACATATCATATTGCATGCCATCACTCTGGTGTTCCTTTAATACTGTTTAGCTAGCCACCTTTTGTCAAAACAGCATTAAAACTGGCAAAACAGGAGACACTAATCTATGAGTTGAAGAATAGTGAGCTGTATTATCTTTACTCTAATGTATAAGGGCATTGCTAGCCGGCTGGAAGTTTTTTGTCAGTGGTACCATTTTCAGTCTGCCATGAACTACAGATACTGCCTTAAATGTGAAATAAGTCACAAGGTTGTAGTTTATATTTTGTCTCAAAGAGCAGATGCGATGTTTCCAGTGCAGCAACTGTCAAGTTTTTACAAGGCAATACATCATTTAGCATGATTAAAATACAGCAGCGCTAGATCAGAGCCATGTTTCTCAGCATATTGTGAATAAACATTCTTGTTAATCTCTTGTGGCATAAATGATCTCAAAATCTAATCATAAAAATGAAGAATGAAACTGCAATAATTTGTGGTGCAATCACAGTAATACACTCAAGACAGGCTGTACTGTGAGATTTTGGGACTGCTGTGCTGATCTACTCAGCTTGTGGCTTCATGCCTATGACTGCAGCTCAACAGTGCTGATGTTTCACAGTACAGCACTCCCTCTTGTGTATTATTACATAATTGTAGCAAGCATAGTCTGCATAGTCATACCAATGTAGAAGCATTAGTAGAAATATCTATATTTGAATCCTTACCAGTTCTAGTGACCAGTAAAAGAATGATGAGTAGATAAAACATTGACTTCATATTAAAGTAATACAACCAGTGTCATTACTTGCTTCTGTCAAAGTTGGAGAGAAAATCTAGTTTGATTGTAGTGTAATAACAGTGTAATAAGATTTTAATTTTTGGAACTTACTTGGATGCTCTCATAGTCATCAACACTGGATGAGTCATCATCAGGAAGTGGAGCACTGAGGCCTGAGCCCTGAGAACAGAGAGACATGTGTCATATTTTAGCTAAAGGAAGCAGCTTACATTGCACTGATGTTCCACCTTAAATAATACAGGGCAGTCTGCTGCTTTTAATCAAAACATTCATTTTGAACATTTCGCATTGCGATACTTTACTTCACAGAGTGTAAATAAACATTCATTAATCTGTGTTTGCCAAAAATGGCAATTTCTAATGACCAATCAAAGAATGACAAATAGATCAATCATTTGTTTTTGTCTTAAAGTAATGAGATCTGCTTTCTAATTTCTCCCTTCTATAAAATGTAGTTGGATTGTGGTGTTTTAACAGTGCAATAAAACTCTAATGATTGGGACTCACTTTTATTTAGTCACCAACACTGAATGAGTCATCAGGAGGCGGGGCTCTAAGGCCTGTGTTCTGCAGAACAGAGTTATAGAACAGATCAAGAATTATGCAATTTTAGCCAAGGGCAACAGCTTGATGTTCACTTTAAGCTGTTGACTGATACATTGATAGATAGTTTGTTTATGTTTTGTCTGATGAATATGTTTGAAGAGTAGATATCCTTAACATTTCTTTTATGATATTTCATTCAGTAGTGTTTGTATCCAGCAGTGCTAATTTGGAATGTTGTTTCTTCACAGAGTGAAAATAATAGTCACTGTTAATTCATTTTTTGTGTCATAGAATTAAAATCATCATCATCATGATCAACATCATTGTCTGTAATCACTTTGTCTAGATAGGTTCATAGTAGCAGTTGGGA